CTGAAGAGAATTTATCGAAAGCAAACGTATGCTCGCCGATTTATCTTTTGATTATTACAATGGGATTTTTCGCAAATTTGAAAATCAGAATGCGATGCACCACAGTAATCAGATCACTTGAAAGCAGGCCTCATAAACTTGCAAACCTTAATAGCTACCGCGTTTCGTACTCTCACTTGGACCAGGACCTTACTGCTGTCACACACGTGTCTCACTAATTGAGGCAAATGTTCGCATCCCAGGTATGTTGTAGATAGTGAAGTAGAAGGCGTTGCGATCACCGGAATCATACTTTTACTTGTCTGAGCTATCAGGCTCTTTCTAAAGTCCATCATCAGATATAAAAGCGTAAACGAAAGAAAAGCAACAGTTATAGGACGCAGGAGCCAATCAAAAGTTATGGGGGGAGGGGGAAAAGGGGAAGGGGAGAACAGCCAACCACCAGTGTCATCAGTCCGGAGATGTATGCCGGCGCCAGATTGATACATCGATTGACTAAGTTCTCATCCGAGGCCCAGGCTTCAATCAATTCGCGGCCTATTTTGTTGCCAGCGTGTGCGATTACCCTCGCAGCTGCGAAATTAAACTCGTAATTGGTCTCGTAGGTATGGGCGGCCACTTGCGATAATGCTTCACCCCGTTGTACCGCCGGCTTATGTTCGCGTATGCGCGAACCAAGCATACGTCCTGTCTGTCCTGTGTAGTTTCGGGGACAACTTAGACATGATATGCGATACACGACGCCCGACTGCTCACTGGGATTTAAACGGTCCTTGATTCGCGTAATCCGGCTGCGCATGGTAGCCTTGGGACGGTGTACATTTCCAACGCCTAGTCCCGCAGCAATGCGTTCGGTCGCTTCCGATACATACTTAATGTATGGCAGCGCATGCCATCTTGTACGGGTTGGTCCTGATTGGGTCCTCTGAGGGCGAGTACGTAGGCATCGGCTTATGAAGTCCTTCCGGTAGCCATTCCGCATAAATTGGTCGCGGAGATATCGGGCATCTGATGATGGACTT